TGGACATTATTTCCCCTGTTCAAGACATTCATAACGATTCAGTACTCAAGGAGACATCAAGAACCTAAAGCTTACATGGCTTTACAAAATTGTTTTAAAGATGGATATGCACTTAAAGAAGCATGCCATGAGTATAAAACAGTATTTCCTGAAAAAGACCGTGAAATGGGCCTTTGGTGCTCTGCCAGTATGAATTACAACTAAAGAACTAAGACCTGATATGCAGACAAAGGCATGGCAGACACTTGAGATTCAACCATGATGCTGCTCTACCCAGAAAACTGTTCTTGCAAAGTTATACCAGAAGCATCGAGTGATTTTGACCAGACCAATTAAATCTTTATTTTGGTTTCTTTTATGTGATGGGGAAAATGACATAACTGAAAGACTTTGCTTGGCTCACACAAACAACTTGGGCCAGAGTTAAAAGAAACTAGCAAAACTGAAACCAACCCTGAACGTAAGGAAAGAGTCAGCCAATATTAGATACTTCTGTTCCAAAGCCCCAAAATGACTTTAAACTAAAAAATGATACAAACTTGGCAATAACACTGCTAATATGGATTCTGATGCCACCAATGTCAAGAAGGAAGCAGCACAAGGGCTCCACTCAATTACCCATTTAAGAATAAGAGCTGCTTGCGCAGAAAGAATGCAAAGATTTGGCTCAAAGGCTGGTCTCCCTGTTGAGTCCCTATACAGTCTAAAATCATGAACCTCAACGCATGCAGTTATCACTTGAGAAGTATGCAATGAGCAGCAGTTACCTGACTCAGGCACTAATGTGGCTAGGCAAGTTTAATGCCAATCAAAACAAGGATTCAAGTAACTACAGCGTGGTGTAGTGGTTATGAGTGGTGAACTCTAATCTGGAGAACCAGGTTTGTTTCCCCACTTAAAGGCTGCTGTGTGACCTTGGGCAATCACAGTGCTCTCAGAATTCTCTCAGCCCCACCTACCTCAGAAGGTGACTGTTGTACGGAAAGGAAGGAACAAGTGACTGTAAGCTGCTTTGAGACTTCTCAAGGTAGAGAAAAGCAGGGTATAAAAACCTACTCTTCTTCTACAGCGGCCAAATTGTGATGTCCTTGCAAAAATCTATGGTTTGGACAAATTTATAATAATGTGTACAGTTCTGGCTGACATATCTCAACTGCAGGGCTGGAAAAGGTGCAGAAAATGGTCAACCAAAACAGATCAAAGGTTAAGGTGCCTGGTTCTTTAGAGATAAAATGATTGGGAGATGATAGAGCTTTACAAAGTTAGGTATGAGCTGGGGAAACTAAAATGATTTTTCTTGATGTTCCATTATTACCAGAACACATGGACAGCCAATGTGGCTGATGGGCAGGAGATCAGGGCAGAGCAGATGAAAGGAAGTATTTCTTCACTTAACAAGTAATTAACTGGCAGAATTCACTGCCACAAAATGTAGTAATGGCCACTAATTCAGTGGTCCATCAATTGCTATTAGCCATGATGACTAAATACAGCTTCCATGGTTCAGATGCAGCAAACTGTTGAGTACTAGTGCTGGGGGAGACTTTTGCTTTTATGCCCTGCTTATAGGTCTGCCAGGGCATCTGGCTGGCCACTGTGTGAAACAGGATGTTGGACTAGATGGACCACTGGCCTGATCTAGCATGGATGCTCCTGTCTAGATTAAATGGGTTTCTATTAATTCACTGAAATGGATCTAAAGGGAGACTGTTTATGGAGCAGTTCTAAATAATAAATAAGGGGAAGAGAACCTTACCCAGAGCCTTACGATGTACAACTGGGGGAGGGAGGGGAGGGTACAGCTGTTCTGGAGTTTAAACACTCAGAAGCCCCACCAATGTTAAACCACACTGATAATTTAAAACTATTTGTTTTTGCTCCAAATTTAAACTTGCACATACATGTGCCCATACTCCACATGAAGTTAAGAGATACACATATGACTATGCATATAAAGTATGTTTGCCTTTCATTTGTATCTTTTAAGAATGTTAAAGCTATCTGACATAACTGCAGGCAGCTACTAAATTACAAGATACATAAACACTTAAATGCAAGTAACGAATATTGCATCTACATTTGTAAAATTAAATTTTAGGTTTTAAAAGCATGAACAATGGTTACAAGTCAATCTCAAAATATATACTTTTCCAGAAAGCCTGAAGAAATTGGAAAATTCCTTGTTTGGGATATTTGGGGGGCAGAAGATGGTCCTTTTTTAAGATTATTGTAAACTAACAGATCTTGAGGAGGCTTCATATCACTGACCCTGCAGGCAGTTAATCTAGTCATGGTGACTGAGAACTGCTCTTTGCTAAAGGGACGATTTTACCAAGGACACTTTGGCTTGAACTAAACAATCATTGGAAGGCACTTTCTGGATCAGAAATTATTTTCAGTGAAATATCATTTGGCATGTGATTGCCTCTTTGTAGGCCTCGGTTATACTTTTATTCTGTGCCTAGTGGTTTCACTCTGGAACAATTCTTTTCTGGTCCATTTTGTATCCATGTTGCATAATTGTATTGTATTATGATACAAGCTGACTTGTTCCTCATTGTGTTTGATCTCTGAAGAAGGCTATACAGGCCGAAACGCATCAGGTCAAGTTCATTGGCCATTGTGTGTAAGATTTTGGTATTTATACATGAAGTGTGATTGGGCCCTGATATATTTTTTAATTCGTTGCTAATACATACATGTATCTTTTTATATTATATACATTAAGGTTTTATTGTTGGCCCTCTATTCTATTTATCTTACCTCTTTAGGTTATGTCCTTATCTGAAACACACATCTTTGCTCTGCTCAAACAGAGATTAATTGATATTGAAATGCAAGAACTTAGAGCCCTGGCTTCTGGTAGATGCTCCCCTTTAAGATGGGCTCATTTTCCGATCAACGCCCCTGCACAATACTTATCGGATTTGACTTCCCCACAGCTGCATAGAGCATTTATGCTGGCCCGCTTCAACGTGCTCCCCTCTGCGGTTTTAGCAGGAAGATTTAAGAAAATCCCCTACTCTGTTAGGTATTGTGATTGAGAGGAGATTGAAACAATTGAACATGTATTCCTCTATTGTAGTTTGCATGATGACATTCGGGCACTTTATTTAGAAGCTATTCTTAAGAAGGATGTCATGCAATCTGATGACAGAATGTTGTACTGTTTACTGGCTTCACAAAATATAGAGGTTATTGAAGCGGTGGCTAAGTTCTGCAACTGCCTCATAATGAGGAAGCTGTGTGTTAAACCCATGAATTGAAGGGTTTATGATTCTGATCGATGCCAATAAAGGTTTTGAATTGAATTGAATTGACCTCTAGGTTCTTGACTGAGGGGAACCTCCACATTCAGAGGCACTAAGCCTCTGAATCCCAGAGCCAGGAGGCAGGGGAAGGCCTCAGTCTCTATGCCCTGTTGTTGGACATCCAGAGGAACTAGTTGGCCACTATGTGAGACAGGATGCTGGACTAGATAGACCACTGGTCTGATACAGCAGGGCTCTTCTCATGTTTTTATGTTCTAAGAGCAACACATATTCCTCAAAGGGAACCACCCTAAAGGCAAAGCCAGTCAAGAAATTCCCTGCCTCGAGGGATGATATTTAAGTAGTAGATCTAAGTGACATAAAGCCTTACACGGCCTGGGACCAACATATCTGAAGGACTGCCTCTTCCCGTATATGCCCCGAAGAGCATTACGCTCTAAGGATCAACACCTCCTGGTAGTCCCCGACCCCAAAGACATCCAACTTGCTTCGACCAGGGCCAGGGCTTTTTCCGCCCTGGCCCCTGCCTGGTGGAACATGCTCCCTGCGGGATTTACTTCAATTCCACAGGGCCTGCAAGATGGAGCTGTTCTGCCAGGCCCTGGGACATCCATATATGGCCTCCCTGAGGGGGTTGCCATTCTGTTAACAACTACCGGCTATGGCCAGGAACCTCCCACAACCAGAGGGTTGGGGTTTTTTGGTTATTAGCTGTGACCACCATTTTAATATTTATGAAGGTGTTTTAAATTTTAATGTTATTTTATTAACAAGATTTTTGTGTAAATGATGTTGTTACCCACCCTGAGCCCACCTCTGGGAAGGGCAGGCTATAAATGTGAAGAAATAAATAATCTCTCTCTATTAACATCCAATCTAGATATAACTTTCTGCTGCTATTCC